GACTTCACATTCTAACAACCTTTTCACAAACCTTCCACTGTAAATAGACGTTGGCTTCCAAAAGTAGGCTTGAGCAGACTAAAATCATAAAAGTGTCTTGAAACTACATCATGAAATTTGAGTAAGTATGTGGTTGAATGGAATTGCTGTGACTCCAATTTCTTCAGCAATATTTTTCAGAAAATACAGTCATTGAGTTTTGAGGTGTGGTTAGAAACTTCTGAAATTTAGGCTTGTGAGCCTTTATCCACTTCAAATCTTATTCCTTAATTTGTTAACAGTATCACAAGATATGTCAATTTCATTGCAATAGCTTCTAGGGTTGAAGCATTGTCATTACCTTCTCTCTGTAGTTGAGGGTACTGCTTGAATGTGATTTTGGATTCTATTGCTGTCCTAAATGCTCTACTGAGTTGTTATCTCCACGTATAGCAATATACATTTCTTCTTCAAAATGTTATATTCTTTGGAAAGAGGTGAGATAATTTTCAAGTCACTAATCTACATATGGCAACACTGCACTGTCAAATAGCTGGGAGTTCATTCACCATGAACCAAATATATTTGTGCTAAAAATCTACCACCCATAATGCAATGTCTTCTGCAGCAACAAACTACTGAACCAACACTTACAAATCATTATAATAAAGTGTACTTTATCTTCTGTAGCCCTTTTGTTGAGGACTATGTTCTGTAGTTGATTCAAAAAGGTCCATAGAGTATTATGGTTGAAAGTGTAGTAATTACGTACATTTCAAACATAATTAATTGAATTAATATCTGATGATTGTTTTAGTCAAGGAAGATTATTAAAGCCACTGACAGGCTCTTCAAACAAACTTCAGACAATAAAAGCAAGATGACTTCTTACATTATAATCTTAGATGAGTCCTTTTCCATAAAGGTGAAAGATGAAAAATATGGGATGAACACACTATTACACCACTTTTAGAAATTTTTATTACTGAAACAGCACAAGCTGGATCAAGTGCTTCTTGTAATTTTCCTCCAAATTCCAACTCTACCATCAGTATAAGAATAGGATAAAAATTACTCATCAAGCTACACAATATCATTCAAACCATTTGCTGTCCACAGTTTGTACTCTAAGCATCACTGAAGCCACGTTTTCTTGTTTACATCTGATGTAAGTGGTTTTCTGATCAAGTATTATCTGCCATATTACAAACCTGCAAATAGAGATCATAAAAAAAGTAAAGAAATAAGCCTGGAGATACTGTAGGCATTATTTACTCAAACTACAAGCCCCTATTTTAGCTCCATGCTTTTACCTAGAATTACATTTGATGAAGTCAAAATAGGGATTTGTAGTTTGAGTAAATAATGTCTGCAGTATCTCCAGCCTTGTTTCTTTACTTTTTCTAGAATCCCTATTTGCAGGTTTTTAAATTCCCAATTTTTTATTTATCTTGTTTGCTGGCTTTTTATTTTATATGCTCACCTATGGACAAAGAATTACTTGATATGGTAGCTAACTTAAAACATTGTAATGATAATAAGCATAACTAGTAGCTCATTATTTAATTTCTGTAGTGCATATTGGTGTACAGAAGACATATTAATACTAGAAATAAATGATCTTATTACACCAAAATGTTGTTTTTATTAAATAAAAAAGGTTGTTTATTCCTAGTATTAATATAACTAGTAGCTAGCTGATATGGTACATGATAATTTGCAGTAGCTATTGGCTATTTAACCATTTGATTGCATGAGAATATAGTATGCATTTATAGTTTCTGTGTAACTATATTCTCTATATATAATGCATAGCAATGGGCAAATATAAGCCTAGATTAAGACACAACCTCCAGTAAGAAGCCTTTTCAAATAAAACATAAACATCTAAAACATTGCTTTAAATAAACCTTCATAGCTTTTAAAGTAATTATTCTATGAATGTGTGTAATAAAATTTAATATTATGTGTATTGATTTTTTTTTTACTCCTTCACATCATACATAATATAGGGGTTGGCTTAAGACACCAACTGTATCAAGTACAAAGCATTAAGTATCTACACGTTACAGTCATCTAATGTTCATCTATTACTGGCTGGTAATTCCTGTTTCACCATGTACTTAAGCTTTATAAAGGAACACCAGATATTTGTAAGAAAGCTAACTTCATGGTATTGTTGCGTCAGCGAGTCACACGACTACTATGATGCAACGCTTCTAGAACTATCATGTACTTTGGCGAATGTTCA